TAGTAACACACCAAGTGCCCCATCGTATTGCATTTTCATATCTCAATTGATGTGTTATGTTGGTACATGTCGCCTTGGTATCCGTAACATCAGTTTCACACGATACGGAATTGATTAGCAGTTGTGTGCTCCTTCAACAAAAACTGCACCAACAGAGTTATGAGGAAGAACGACTTAAATCGACACTAAATAAATTTACTATCACTATCACGAAGTAGTTGACTGATGTGATAAATCTATGTATCAAATCAAAAGCGACATGTTTTTAAAGTCTTATATCTGTACATACCATAAAAGTCGTCAAATCTTTTATCTTACCGATTGCGTCATATTCCCAATTGTGACATTTTGACTGAGTTGGGATTCGCATAGCAGGTGATGCACGCACAGAAGGAGACGCCTACCATGTCACCCGGTATTGCTGCTTTTGGAGTTTATGCAATTACTCAGGTTTTTGTTTGTCTTCTTAATAGATTTATGGTATTATTGGAACTGAGGTTGCCTCAATTTCCGGACCAATGTTCTGGAATACTTCACATCTATGTTTGCGTTTTAGACCAATTGCATCCGCAAACCATAATGCGTTTACCCTCCTCATGCATCACATTCAACTATTTAATTGTCAGCATTTCGTTATCCGGTTCTCCGCCTAGCTCTTTTTTAGTCATGTACTGCTGTAGTATTAGTTGAAATGCAATATATACTTTCATATTGAAATTTTTTAATTCCTTCATACAGAAAAAGTTTTAAAACGTGATTTATTATCGCTTTTTTGTGACTTTTCTAATATGATTTGATAATCAAGTAGATTCGCATGTTTATGTCTTTTTTTAGCGACTCTGGTTACATCAGATTTAAATAATACCCACTGTTATTTATGTCATTTAAATTTCTATTCAATTTAGGTTATTTAATCATACAAAATTATATGATTATTTGTTCAGTGAAGTTGAAAAATACGACAAATCCTGCGCCAAAGTTTATTTTTATCCTTTGTAAAGAAGGAAGTTCATAGTTTAAAAAAATATATGCTATACCAACACTAAGAAGATGCCACGTTTGATTGTCATTTGTCTGACAGTTTTCACAGTCATTATGCAAATAAAAGGTAAATTGATATTGCATAAACATGATATTCTTTCAACAAAACTACAACTTTTGGTAACATGTTTAAAAGAAACTGAGTACTGTTGAAAAAAATACAACTGTCATAACTCATAACATAAATTTGATAAATTCTTTCAAAAGCGATTTTGTTAACGGTAAGACATTATTATCCGTATATATGGGTTTTTCGCTTCGACTTTTTTGCGATTTGATGACTAAATGGACAGGTTAAATTTTCACAAGGTATAATTTTCGCTGAGCGGGAAAATACACGCGTAAAAATCGCTGCATTGTTTTGTTGAAGATGTAAACTACATATCACACTTTATTAACTGACAGTAAATCGTGTACAAATAAATACGTGAACTGCAAACTAAAATACAAATAATTCGGAGATCTTTAAAAAGTCCACCAACAATGGCTCAACTATGACGACGTATTAGTAATATCATTGTATGATACTAATGTCATTGACTCAGAACAACTGGAGTCTTTGGAATAACCTCTTAATCAATAAATCTGCAGTTTGATTATTCTATGCTCATTAGAACAATATAGCCCTTATTTTACAACGATGGTAAAAAGTACTCACCATTTATTTCGATGCTCCTGCAGAGGTAGAAGTATTTGTAAATGATAGTTATGCATAGTATTTACCATCCCCTCTATATGGAAACCAATACAGAGCCAACAATTCGTCAAATATTCCATTTACTAAAGGTGTGAACGTTTGATGTTTTTTTTTATTTGGACTATCAAATCATACGTTCAGTAGATCTTTGGCTGAAAAAAAACGGACAAAAATTAACACCCGCAAGCTAGTTTTAGTAAACCAGACCACCAATCTTTTACAGAGAATGTAAATGCGGCAATTCACCTGACAGCAACTCCTTATCTGCAAACATTTGTATCCCATGACACGTACGATGGAACAGCATATTATCCAGATGGGTAAGTTGATCCAATAATTAATTAATAAACATTAAATAAAAATGTAAGAAAAAAAATCTTTTGTTTTTGTAGATGTAACCCACCATTAAAGCGTTATATTTACTAAACACATATTTAGGAAATCTGTAAACCCTTCTCATAACCATGACTACAACACCCGAAGACGCCTCTGGAGTTCAAATAACGGAAATCTCTAAACATGTTCTCGGATTAATTTGCACTTCTCGTGAGTGCAAATTGGAACCACATTTTTTTTTAAGGTAGAATTATCAAACTTGGCAATAATATACCTATGCCTACAGGTAAAACAATTAAAAAAAAAGTTTTGATATGGCTCGCCCCGTTCGGCATTAAGAGTGAAATCAGTGTCAATATCCTATAGGATATTTTTTTTTCCCATAGGATTTTTAAAAATCCTACAGGATTTTTAGAAATCCTATAGGATAAAGTCATAATCCCGTAGGATATTTTTAATATCCTGTGGGATATTTAAATCCCTTAGGATAAAAATATCCTGTAGGAGATAAACTATCCTATGGGATAAAATTAATATCCTACAGGATTAAAATTCCTGTGGGATTTTTAAAAAAAAATTTCAATCCTATAGGATATAAATTATCCTATGGGATTATCATGAAAGACTATTTTTCCATAAAAAATGTCCCTTAGGATTATTTATTTCTCCTAAGGGATTTAATTTGTCCTATGGGATATTTTTTCTCCCTTAGGAGCATTTATTTCTCCTAAGGGATTTAATTTGTCCTATGGGATATTTTTTCTCCCTTAGGAGCATTTATTTCTCCTAAGGGATTTAATTTGTCCTATGGGATATTTTTTCTCCCTTAGGATTATTTATTTCTCCTAAGGGATTTAATTTGTCCTATGGGATATTTTTTTTCCCTTAGGATTTTCTTCTTTCCCTTAAAATTTTCTTCTCTCCCTTAGGATTAATTTTGTCCCTTAGGTTTTTTTTTATCTCCCTTAGGATATCTTTTGTCTTGTATGATTTCTTTCAATTTGATAAATGTTAATTTTGTGCTGTAGGTCAGTTTTATCCGATTTGCTTTTTTTCTATAAATATATTTATGGTGTTGTTTGTATCAGTGTTTTGATTTTGATTAAAAAACAACCGTGCAAGACCCTCACAGGTAGTCAAGTCAAGTAGGAAAAACCTTGTTGTTGATTAAAAAAATCTCAATATACTACATGTACATCATGCACTTCAAATATTACAATACTTTTATGCTCATCTATGCGAAAAAGTCAAGAATACAGAATATTAAACATCATTAGGAAAAGTAAATTTAGATCTAGTGACAATAAAGATTTTTTTTTAACTTGTATTGATAGCTTACAACCTCATAGATATATATTACTCCAACCAAGAGTTACAAACTATACCTCAGAATATGCAACAGAATACTGTGGATTCATTTGTACGTCAGAAAACAATTTTCTGTTTTGGTGGGTACTGAGTACAAATTATTGACAGTGATATGTTTTGTCCGACTCAATTTTTATATTATAATGTGATTGTTTAAAATTAAAATTGGGCAAATCATTCAGTCAATTAACCACAACTGAAGGTGCAGGGCTAAATAACCATCTTGGAAATGAGAAATGACAATTCTTAATATACAATTGCATACCAAATTTCACAAGTGTTTACTTTCATTAGAAATGACATAGACACAAACTTTAACATTTAGACTATGCAAAAGTTTCAAAGCAAAAAGACCATGACTGAAGTAGAGGTGCTAACACTATCCCTGGAAATGAGATTTGCCAATGTCAACTCAACTGCATACTAAATATATTTGACTTTAGTACAAACAAGTAAAATAAAGGGGAATATTTCAAAGAGACAACCCGACCAAAGGGCAGAAAACAACTGATGTCCACCATTGGGTCTTAAACACAGCTAAAAAGTCCTGCACCTAAAGGCGTGTGTCCGTGTTTCCTAATATTTCATCAAAATGTTTCTACCCAACATCCATTCTATCCAATAGCAAGGACCACATTTCTCATGAATTGAATTGAAAGAACATTTAGAATATTTCAAACCTAAACTATTTCTCATATTTCATTTATCATAAAAATACTTTTTATATATTTCACTTGTCAGAATAATAAAAAAAACAATTTATTGGTTTCCAACTTGGTCTTAAATTCTGTTACTTAGACCATTAAATGATTAAAATTAAAAACTTTACAAATATATCACACATTCTCTTTTTTTCTTTTAATACACAAGCTATAGCACAATGAGGTTCATTGGTCATAAATTGAAAATGAAGGACCAGTAAGTTGATGAAAGGCCAACCTAGAAACTTTTACAAACTATAAATTAAAACCTATTCTATTATATTAAGACAAACAAATAATAAAAAAGACAATTGTTTTTGACATAACATATTTATTTTGTATTTACAAAAGAACTATGCAAAATATACATATAAACACATTTCTTTCTATTTGAAAGTTGTTTTTTACACAGGTAAATTATCTCAGATATATATATTTTCATTAAATGTCAATACTTCAATGCAAAAAAGCATGACTAATAAAAGAAATACATGTAAGAAAAGTATGTTCTATTGTCTACAATGTTACATGCATACATTTCAATTGAAGATTTCCATTTCTCATCTTGTACAAAAGAGAAGGTTCAATAAGGCTCGGACTACTAAATCTTATTACAATTCTCACAAATTCTCTTACTTTTTCCCTACCAATTAAAACAGGCTAATTTCAATATGTTTTAATCAGCAACTTAAAAAGCTTTTAGCCAGAAAATTGACACTTACCCAATCTACTTTCAGAATACAAATAACTTTTCAAAATTTTAAAAATAAATAATACTAACATTGACTTAACTTGTCAAAACACTTACTGTAGCAATTGAAATATTATTTACAAATTAGTTTTTTATATTAACATTTGTGAACATTAAAGATATAGCACTGCTATACAAAAACACTTAGTTTTCAAAATAATCATGAATCAAAATTCCATACAACAATTGCAAACTACAGTACTGTACATTAATGTGAATGATATTTAGTTTCATACAGTCAACTGCTTAAACATGTTGTCACTTATCATGCTTATAAAATGCTGAACTGTCTTCACTAAAGGACAGCAGCTACAAGTTTCTACGAATTAATCTTTGAAACAAACATACAGAAGTCATTTCATTTATAGACACAAAATTTGGTGCTCATATGACATAAGAAGATTATCTATCAAATGTTCCTAGGAGGTAAATATATATACAAAATATACAAAATATACAAAATAGAATTAGTTTTGAGGACTTAAACCCGTGGTCGGTGTGTAACAATCCTAACTGCGGTGTTTCTCTCAAAAGTCTGGATATGGTTGTTGATCGCAGCCAACAAATTACCTTCCATAGCTGGTTGTTCATGTTGTGGTTTCTTGTAACGTCCCATATTTTGTGGCAAAGGAGTCTTTGGTGCAGGGCGTCTTGTTTTCTCAAGGGTAGATAGGTAGCTGATCCACCAAAGTTCATCTTCTCTGTTTAACTTTCCATTTTGAACCCATTTTGGAAGATCTCGTCTCATCAACTGTATGATACCACCAATCTTTTCCATGTTTGGTTCCACCTTCCTCGGCATGTCGAGATTCTGTAATATATTAGTCAGCTCCAATGTTTTGTATGGTGCTGACTCCAATGGCCATTCTTTCATGGCCAAGAAAACTTTGTCTCCATCCTTTGTCAATTTGAATACGTGCTGACTTTTGATTCCAGCTAGACTGGATGGATATGCCATCTGATCCCGGAAATCATACAGTGATTCTACATGCTTTGCAATAGGTTGTGGTGTGTAAGACCTTTTGATCAGATCCAAAAGGCTTGGGATGGTTGTTGTCTTTTCTTTTGAAGCTTTAACAGAAATCCTACTGAATAACTGATCAACATCCTCATGGGTGTGACCCACCATGAGGAATGTCAGCTTTATCTGTAAAAAAAAAAGATATAGATTTGTAATAAGTTATTAAAGCTTCAATTCCAAATCTCACATTGTTCAACTAAAATTTCATAAGTGCCAATACTTTTTGGTGCACATTAATAATAATAAGAGTCAACATACTGAATGTATTGCCTGCTTTACTGACCATGGAATTTATTTTGATAGCCCTAAATATGAAGCATTATTACATGTATCATCATTAACAAGGCTCTGATGATGATAATGGAAGTATTAACGACCTTGACTTGCTATACAGCCCTCACACGGTCGGTAGGCTCTGTGTTGAAGACCGTACTTTGACCTATAATGGTTTACTTTTACTAATTGTGACTTGAATGGAGAGTTGTCTCATTGGCATTCATACCACATCTTCTTATATCTATATACATATAAACATCTTACAATCATTCCATAAACCAAATATTAGTATAAGTGACTTACTGCTTATAGTTTTAGAAAAACAGACCAAAACACAAAAACTTAGCATTGAGCAATGAACCATAAAAATGAGGTGGAGGTCAATAAAACTTGCTGGACAGGTATCTACACTGGAAATATTTCTATACACCTAATATAGTTGACCTATTGCATACAGGATGGGAAAAACAGACTATAACACACAAACTAAACTTTTAACTAGTGAACCATGAAAATGACGTCAAAGTCAGATGGTACCTGGATATGTACACATAAAAATCATTCCATTCACCAAATGTAGTAGTTCAACACAAAAAATAAACTGAACAACAAAAAGCAGAATATGGTTAATATTCATTATAGTCATGAAATAACTTCAATGACTGAAAATCGTAATTATTGGCATCTCTGAATTTTACTGACAATTTTTAAAATTGACTAGTTTCCCAAGGAAGTGCCACTTGCTACGAATAGATGATAAATAAGTTGACTCTAGACAAAAATACACACATCATGAAGATACATATTATCAGTCCATACATAAAAAATTCTAGATTTTTTTACAATTTGGATATTCATTTTATTATGTTAGAAATCAAACATGAAAATTTGAGTCAAATCAGTGAAAATGAATTAGCTGGGTTTTACCCCTTTAAGTGATTGCCTTAAATGTATTTTTTGGAATCTGTGACTACAACATGCACTTTTGTTTTGTTTTATGAAACATTTTCTCTTTTCTTTTCATAAGTTAGTGATTTTTTGTTATTGTTGATGAAATGACAAGCACATACATGATATATACATGACATATATATCTGCTCTTTGGTAGGGTTGTTGTCTCTTTGACACATTCCCCATTTCCATTCTCAATTTTATGTTATAGCAAAAAAGAGTTTTAATTTGCAACAAACAAATATTGGAACTAAAAATGTATTGCATGCTGTTATGTCTGAATTTATGCCCTTGTGATTTGAAGTAAGGATAACAAAAATGCATGTATGCTAACAAATTCCAATAAAAGTTTCAAATACTAAATTTTATTACCATGGTAACTCCATCTATCAATAAATTAAATAAATGCAAAAAAATTAAATTACCTTTTTTACAATTTCCATTTTCACCAACATTGCTAGGAACATTATCACATATTTATTTTTGTTGTCTTTTGGGGAATTATCAGCTTGAATATATAGTGTAGGAGGTAAACCACCATTTTCCTAAAAAGAAAAAAAAGGGAATCAGCTTTACATATTATACATCATATCATCACAGTTAAAAGTTATCCAACCCTATTATACCAAACATAATATATTTTTCTAGCATATGAAGTATTTTAGTCATAAAAGTATTTAAGTCAAAGCTTATTTTTGAGAAAAGAAGTTTGTTCACCGATAAAACTGCATGAATAAATTGTTTCATTTTCATCTCTTATCATGAGAAGCGCAATTTGTTCCCAACTTTTATAAACTTCTCACATTTCTTTGAAAAATTACAGATTATTGCTTATATTTCCATTACATTTTTGGTAAAAAGCAAAATAAATAATGTTCATGCATTTATATATATATATATTCCCTTGCTGGGATTTCGAACTCATGCTACTGAGATATCGTGGCACCAAATCACATTGTACTGTGAACGACGCACTAGACCACTCGACCACCTAGGCTCTTTATTATATATATTCAGAAATGGGAATGTGAAAATTAACCTCATTATCAAACAAGAATAACATGGCGGTCTAGTGCACATGTAAAAACAAAATAAGCCATGAAATATGTTTTTTTTCTAAAAATCAGTTTTGAATTTGTTTTCCATTTTGTCAACACTTGGCGTTTTAGCTTAGTATAGGGTATGGGTTTTGCTCACTGTAGACGGCCATACTTTGACCTGCAATAGTCTACAACATTGTCTCTATGCATAATTAGTTCATTGGCAACCATACCCATCGTTCTTACTTTTTTTATATGCAACCCTGTCCAATTATTATTTCTAATTGAATAGTAATGCTAGCTTAGATTAATCTGTAATTTTTCAGTGTCTGTGTCATGTGAAATCTTTGGAGATATGTCTAATTGGCAGTCATACCACATCTCTTAACTTTCATATCTTTGATGTTTAAAATTAATGGACTAGAAGTGGCTTCTATACACTTAGACTTTCTTGTTGTTGCATAAATTGTAAAATAAATGAAAATGTGTTACTGTGGATTAATTATTATTCGTTGGATACCAATTTTCGTGGCTTTCGTTGATACTGGTAAACCACGAATTCAAATGGGCAATGAATTACAAATTTTCTTTAGGCTTTGTATCCAAGGTATGGCAAAACCACGAAATTAAATATCCAGGAAAATGCAAGTTTTCCTCAATCCACGAAAATTGATACCCACGAAAATAAATGAATCCACAGTATTCTCTTGCATGAGAACTTTAGTTAATTGTTTCACTTTAAACTTGATAATAGATACTTACTGTTGCTACATCGCCCAACACAGACATCAAACAATTCAAGGTGATATTGCAATCAGAGGAAAACTGATCTGTCCATGTAAATGTATATGCCTTATTTAATCCATGACATAAAACACCTGTAACATGGTGGTGCATTTTTTCAAGTGTTGTTTCATTCTGAAAAAAAAAAAAAGTTTAAAAACATGTGCTCATAACTTAAACAAGAATGCAATCATAATTCAAAATATTGGCTAACAGGAAGTAGTTATATGACTTATCTGAAGGTGCACTCTTAACATGCTTAACTCATCTATGTTGAGCGGCTGACCAAATAAAGTCATTGATTTCAGTAGTTTCTGAGAAAAATATGACAAAAAAAGTTGAATTCCTTCCAATATTGAAAAATTCAAAGTAATTGCAAACAAGAGTTAGGTATCTGACAAATCTCCAGATTCTTTTTTATATCACATGTCATCACTGTCAAGCTGTTGACCAAATAGCAAATATGAGGTCATTTTATTTTAATAGTAGTTTCTTGAAAAGTTGGATGAAAGTGTTGTACCAACAGATAGACTAGGTGCTACCAATAAAGCCCCCTTCTTATCTAGAATGGTAAAATATTTGTCTCATATAAAATGCTAAAAGAAAATAAATACTGCAAGAAGTCATTTTCACTACACATCCTGTTAGTTCATATGATTGCTGCTTTGCGTTAAGTTAATCAATCATTTAATTACAATGTAAATATAGTGCAAGATACAATTCAATACAGAGAAAGGTTAGGAGTTTGACCAGACCAAATTCTATTAATTGCAGATGCTAACACCACTTAGATCTTCACGATTATGTGTAATTTCCTAGACATTCATAGCAAAATAGAACATTCAAATGATATACCAAACAAGAATGTGTCCATAGTACACAGATTCCCATATCGCACTATCATTTTCTATGTTCAGTGGACCGTGAAATTGGGGTCAAAACTCTAATTTGAAAATTAGAAAGATCATATCATAAGGAACATGTGTACTAAGTTTCAAGTTGATTGGACTTCAACTTCATCAAAAACTAACTTGACGAAAAACTTTAACCTGTAGCGGGACAGACGGACGGACAAAAAAACAGACGCACAGACCAGAAAACATAATGCCCATAAATGGGGCATAAAAATGGACCTTTTTTGTTGTTTTCATTTTATAATTTTACAAATAAGATGAATCTAACACTGCGAGCCTGCTTTCAACATTGAAATTGATTATTGCATTGAAATATCATGTTCTAAATATAACCCTTATAATAAAAATATGCCCTTCCAAAACAAACTCACCTTAAAATGTAATGGAAACCTTGGTAGATTGGTTTTGGACTGATCCATATTGTCAATGATTACAGAAGTGTACATGCTTGGATGTTCTTTGGATTTCTTTATGTGTTTATAATATTTTTCCCTGCAGATTCTGAAAAAAAAATCAAAAATATATACATTACACTCACAAATGATTAATAGTTGTGGTAATTCCATGACCATGACTTCCCTACAACCAACACATTTTCTAGAAGTGGTGAGTAATCATAAATGGTTTCATTGCCCAACATCATGGTGTAGTGATGTTAGGAAGAATAAACTTTCTTTGTACTTGTGCACAGTAGTGACTTAACTAACTAAAGAGCCTGTGTCGCTCACCAAGGTCTATTTGCATCTTCAATTATGGACACTCACAAACATTGGAGACCAGAATAGAATTTATGACAATTATCTTATTTTTGCTGATATTGTATCATTGATAATGTTTTTGTTTATAGTTTCTCTCTATCTTCTTGAGTTTTTGCCCAAACACCAAAAAGGGTAAAAAAAATCTTAATTTAAGACTACTTACTCATATCATTTTGGCTTTTTTAAGTGTCTATCTATCTTTCATAATTTTCAAGATAATAGTCAAATTAATTGTTGTTTGTTACTGTGTTCCATTATCTGTTTTTTGTTCATTCTTTTGTGCATAAATTAGGCCATTAGTTTTCTTGTTTGAATTGTTTTACATGTGTCATTTGGGGGCCTTTTTATAGCTGACTATGCTGTATGGGATCTGCTCATTGTTAAAAGCAGTTGGTGTCCCTAAAGTTGTTAATTTCTGTGTCATTTGGTCTCTAGTGGAGAGTTGTATCATTGGCAATCAATACCACATCTTCTTTTTTATAAAAACAGTAAAAAAAATAACCAAGAGCAATAACTCCATAACAAGTCAACTGAGGGTTTTGTATAAATGGGCAGATCACAACATAACATCTCTCTCATCATGTTTTCCCCAATTATAGCAGCTTTCAAGATAATCAGACAAATTTGCATTTAACCCCCACTGTTCTATTTTTAGCTATGTTGGCAATTTTGGTTGGCAGTCATGGTCATAGGCCACCTTTTTTGTATACTAAAAACCTAAGAAGATTGTTGCAGAGTTTGGTTAATTTGGTTCAGTACTTGCAGTTGAGCTAATAATGTAGATGTATTTGCATCAATCATGAAAAGTACAAAAAAAATCATTTTTAAGAGTGGATAAAATTCTTACTCTTGAAGAAGCAAGTGTGCTCTTCTCTTGTCCTTCAGCTCTCCCAAATCGATCTTTGTCAGTTTTTTGCTGATGGTCTCTTTAAAGATTACGCACTCATTACATTTGCTGAGCTTCTGATACTATAAACAAAAAGATTACATCTATTTAATTCTATGAATGTTTCTTAATTTATGCATGACTGAACATTTTTTAATATGACGAAGGGATTAATTATGTGACATAAAGCAGGAGGTATGATATATAAAGTCACTGTCATACCAATGAATTATTAAAGACTTGCAACATAAATTTCATTTTTTTATTAATAAAAGATTGAAATATAGTTTAGTTTCATTTTGAAGGTCCAATGTGACCTTTAGTTGCTTAAATCCATGTCAATTGGACTCTATAGGATAGTTGTCTCATCATTCATGTGTCATACAACATGACCTTTATTTAACATAAAGTGCAGAAAGTAATTTTTATGTCATAAACATGCATATATATGTTGACTTTGACATAATTGACAATTTTACACATAATTATTGAAAAAAAATTGATGTTTGTCATGACTTTACCAAAACATATATTTTGTACATATTAAACAGCTTTGTAAAATACAGTTGATAGCATATGTTTTATGTGCATTGGCATCATAACTGTCAAGATGTGTCAGACTGTGATGATTTCCTACTTTTCAGTTATAATTTAGACATCTGCATATTATTTTATCCCTTCATCATGTTCATAAACCAACACCTTTGTTCTGAATATTACTCCATACAAACCTTTGGAATCTTAACATGAGGAAACTCTTCAATCCACATTCCATAGAACCTCTGGTATGATAAATAGGGTGATCCTAAATTCTCACAGGAAGATTTGTAATCTGTCCAAACTTGTAGTATAGAGAGACATGATGGCAAATGTATTTCCAGAATATCAGGCTGATCATCACCATATCTCTTGCATAGACCTGTAACAAAACTCTTTGCTTCAAGGTACTGGCGACTCTTGTATTGTTGGCTACATCTTTTGTCAGAATTGTCTAAATCTTCATTAGTAGACCTACATTTCTTTTTCATGTAGTAATACCTGAAATTTAAAAATGTAAAAAATATAACAGGCTGATACCACTACTAATTTATGTGGTTTTATTTTCTCGGATTATTTGACATCAATTTTAAAAATCCTTTTAAGGAAATGTGTTTTTTTGTCATAAAAATCATTTTTCAATTTGTTTTATCTGTGAAAAATGAACACAAATCAAGTAAATTGTTAAAGAAACCACCCTAGACTTGATTCAAACAAATAATTCTACAGATGCTGTTTTGAGACTGTCAAAGTTTCATAAATTACATAGCAAATTGACCTTTAGAAGCTTTTTATGTCTAAAAAAAACTAAGCCACAGACTGAATATAACATGTATAAGAAGAGTGTTCATCTGTTTGGATATATGTTAAACCCCGCCACATACTTTATGGGCCTGTCCCTAGGACCCTGTAAATTAATGGTTGTTCCTTGCTGTCTGTCATATCTTATTTTGATGGTGGTTTTAGCATATATCTGGCTATTTGATTTCTCAATTGAATCGCTTCCCGTTCTGTGAGCATAAATAGTTTACTATACAATATGGGATTTTCATTGTTAAAGACCTAACAGTGACATGTAGTTGCTTACAACCTCCTCATGGATAGCTGTTTGATTGGTATTTTAAAACAAATGTATATATATACATTAAAAATTAACCAGGTAGACTACAACAGAATGTGGGATCACTACTTTTGATTTGAATTGATTTTGATTTTTTGTGTTTTTAACGTCACTTAGAAGCACCCCTTTTGGGTAATCTTGTGGCAGCCAGTTTTTATTGGTGGAGGAAGCAGTAGCGCCCAAATAAAACAACCGACCTTTGATAGGAAAACTGACAATCCTAGTCAATTAAGATTGGAGTCAAGCACACCCGCACAAGCGGGGTTCTAACTCACAACCTCAGTGTTGACTTGCTAGTGATTACAGTAGTAACTACTAAGATCACAAACCACCGAGGCCCCCTCACTACTTTGATGTTGGGTTGCTGTCATAAGGATGTGTAGCCCATGAACTAATTTATTTATACTTTTAAGGTATTATACCTCCTCCTTTTTATGCCATACACAATCCTCCATGCATATTCACATACTCTCCTACCAGTCAGCACAAAAGTCAACTGTTTGTCTTCTAAACTGGCATCATTGCACCTGTGTACATAATTAAAAAAAAAAACATTTGAAAAAAGTAGATCTCAAGACCACACGTTTTACAGTTTAGGTTTTACGAACTGGTGTTAAGATATGGTATCTATGTCAAAGGTACTACACCAACAATATAACATATTTTTACCAAATGGTTTTTGAATGTTTAAAACTTTTCATGAGAAGTGAATTTTTACCTATCTTCAACATTTTCATAACACATGTCCATTTGGTTATAGATTAAGTCTTATAAAATTGGTCAATAAGAATGAGGCCCTTCATGGGGGTGTCCAAGTAATCGCATAATCACAAATCTTTTGCCAATATAATCTTATAATCATTAATTATTTTTTTAAACAAGATAATCAAATAATCAAAAATACAGTCCTAGATAATCAACTAATCAAATAATCATGAAATATTTGGTCTGGTAATCAAATATTCACTATAAAATCACATTATCAAAAACCCCATTAGGAGGCTCAAGAACCAAAGATTCTCTTTTTTCTTTTTCATCTGATTTGAAAGAAACGAGTAAAATTTATAAAAGATTTCATGTTATTTGTATACATGTATCATGAGACAAATTTTTTTAAAGAAAATTAACATCAGAGCTCATCTATCTTTGTTGGGGAAAAAAACCCCAACAAAATGTTTTTTTTTTAAATTACTTTAAATCAAGTTTTATTAGACTTCTTGTAATTAAGTTAAGGCAGCTTTAATCAACAGAAACATGTACAAATGCATATCAGTATGCGAATGTACACGTATTTGCCATATATATATATATTCTTTTACTGACTCTGCGAAGGCTGTATAGCCAGTCAAGATCATTAAAACACTCTTGTAGTAAATAAAAATCTATTCATATATAAATATACCTTATGTTTCTTTCAATGAAATCTGACTGTTCTTCTTGTGTCTTTTTATAGAACATAGCTCTACAGGTCTGAATTGTCTGAACATTACTGGTGCTTAAACATTTTTTCTCACAGCATGGCGAATTCACAAGGTTGCAAATAACATTGAAGTCTGTCTCCTTATCTTTTAATACATTTGATGTTTTTTCACGTTTCCTGGCTAAAATTAAAAAGAATAAATAAAAATACAAGTATTCAGGAGAAATATCAGAGCCTTACATTCTAAAAAAAACCACTTGCCACTCTTTTCTTTTTAAAAACATGACAAAGATTAGGGGAACAGACTGTTTAAGATATCTCCTGGTCTAAATGGGAACAAGAGTGCACACGCTGAAATGTCTCGCCTTCTTTTCTAACCATTGATTTTATGTTGATAGTCCTAAATATAAAGCTTTACTACAAGTAACACATAAACTTAACATGATCCAATAAAATGAGGTCAAGGTCAGATAAACCAAACGAGAAATACATGTACACCTTACAATCATTCAATAAACCAAACATAGTTGACCTATTGCTTATAGTTTCTAAGAAACAGTCTTAACCAAGAAAACTGAACATTGACCAATGAACCATGAAAATGAGGTCAAGGTCAGATGCACCATGCCAGACAGACATGTACACCTTACAATCAATTGCATTAAATATAGTTGACCTATTGCTTATAGTATCTAAGAAACAAACTTAACCATGAAAACTTAACATTGACCAATGAACCATGAAAATGAGGTCAAGGTCAGATGATACCTGCCAGACAGACATATACACCTTACAATCCTTCCATACAACAAATATAGTTGATCTATTGCTTATAGTTGAAGAAAAACAGACCAAAACACAAAAACTTAACACTGAGAAATGAACCATGAAAATGAGGTCAAGGTCAAATAAAACCTGCGAGACTGACACTAAAATATTTCCATACACCAAATATAGTTGACCTATTGCATATAGTATTAAAAAAAGACCAAAACGCAAAAAATTAACTTTGACCACTGAACCATGAAAATGAGGTCAAGGTCAGATGACACCTACCAGTTGGTCATGTACACCTTACAATAATTCCATATACCAAATATAGTAGACCTACTACTTATAGTATCTGATATACGGACTTGACCTCGAAAACTTAACCTTGTTCACTGATCCATGAAATGAGGTTGAGGTCAATTGAAAATTGTCTGACGGGCATGAGGACCTTGCAAGGTACGCATATACTAAATATAGTTATCCTATTACTCATAATAAGAAAGAAATTAACATTACAAAAAATGTTGACTTTTTTTTCAAGTAGTCACTGAACCATGAAAATGAGGTCAAGGACAATGGACATATGAAAGATGGAAACTTCGTAACATAAGGCATCTATATACAAAGTATGAAGCATCCAGGTCTTCTAGCTTCTAAAATATAAAGCTTTTAAGAAGTTAGCTAACGCTGCCGCCGGATCACTATCCCTATGTCGAGCTTTCAGCGACAAAAGTCACAGGCTCGACAAAAATAGTGAAGTCTCATTGATACATATATATATATATGCTAAATCTTTTAATCAATGACAATATAAAAAACTTTTATTTTTTGACACTGGGACTATTATACTACAGACTTGTAAACTGATTGATCTGTCATGTCTGTTGAGATTTCATTGTCCTGATAGTAGATTATTGATTTTTTTTAATTGACCCCTTATCGTTTCACATGGTTAATAAGCCTTCAGTACATTAAACAAATAGATTTCGGCATACAAGTCAGCATATACATAGAATACTGTTAAAATTGTTTGATTAAAAATCAAAACAAATAATTAAATGCAAAAAATTAAAATATATATGAATAATAAAACTATTTTATCAAATTAAATACATTTACTAGACATGCCAGAAAGAAATGTTTTACACTGGGATAAACTTATGCTGATTAAAACATTTCTTATTGTTTAGGAAAAGGTATTAATAAAGAAGTCAATATATTAGTGTGTCCGTAGTACATGGATGCCCCACTAGCACTATCATTTTCTAATAAGACTTATGTTCAGTGGTCTGTGAACAAAATAATTTAAAAATATCGTTCTTGATTCAATCTTTTGATCACAAGGAAGCATCTGTCAAAGTTTCATAAAATCTCATAATGGTTATTGGTGTTGAAAAACTTAAATAATACCGTATACATATCAATGTTAAATACAGAAAAAAATGTCCTATTATCCATTAAACATGGAAAATGAGATGAAATAGTTTTTCCAATTTCCCTCTAACTTAGAAAATACTGTCAGGCTTCTGTCCAAGCTTCATGTCTTAAACATACATGATACATGTGATATACATAATATATAAATATCTTAAATACTTCTTTGTTCTTACCTATTTTGCGCTTTGCATTTCTAACATCAATGTAGTCATCTTCAAATTCGGTGTCACTATCTACAAAACAACAATAATTATGTCATGCAAGATAAATAAAATTATTCATGTTCACTCCTCTTATTCTATAGTAGGAGTCCAAAGGACAAGTAATTAATTTGGTGCGGTCTTTCAACTTCTTGTTTTAACAAATAAGTCTTCTTCATATACATGTATGTTATAGAATACTTTTTTTCTAATAGAATAAAGCTGAAAATAGATATTTGTCACGAGAAAAAAATTGTCCAACACATAAAAGTATATCCCCACTTTTAAATCAAAATATATGAACACAGGAACTTGATGTCTGACATCCAAAAAGCAGGAGAACACAACAACTCATCATTATTGATCTGCTGAACAAATATAGACATTCTGATTTGAAGTTTTAAAAGAAAAGTGTGTAGAAAATTTCTAGTTCATACAATAAATCAAAATGTCAATGTATTAGTAAACAGAATACCTGTATATGACAAATTTGAAGTGTTCACATATTAAAACTCACTACTGTCAAGTTTGTCAACTATGTATGAAGGCATTCTGTTCGGTAGTTTCTACGAAAAGTGTGATGAAAATATCTATTGAACATACAAATGAGCTGAATAGACAGTTATTACAAAATAGCCCTTATTCTAGACTAAGAGCAGGGTACATGTATCAACAAGAAACATAATCATACCTTCAACATGATCAGCAGACTCTAACTGTTTAAATGTAGTAACTTTTACACGCTTCATGGCATAAATTCATTAGAAAGCTGAAAATAAAGAAAATATATATGGTACTCTCAAACAACTATATTGGGATAATGAGACATATTTCCATGATTAACAAGATGAACAGTACTGTAAGGTGTTGCTCTCAAATGATACAGTATCTTGGATGATTTTATTATAGAATGTTATTTAAGGTGGCTCTGGTGTCTTCCTCCATCTTGGATTTTGAAGTAGCAGATAACAAGTGGTCTAGATCTTTAATGAAATGTGCTAATTTTGAATGTAGTATGTAATTCATGTGTTAGACTTTTAATGTAAATATGAAAATTATGTATTTTATCATATTTACAGCTGTAATTTCTAAAAAAAACACCATATTTCAATATCTGTGTTTGATTCATTTTTTTCAACTTTGACAAATAAGGAGAGATAACTAAGATAGTAGGGGAGAAAACTCAGATAAAGTAATTTTATAATAGAAAGTGTTGTGAAATTACCTATTTTAATATGCATGATATGTAGCAAGAAAACAAGTTTGGTGACCCTATTTTTTCTTTTTCTTATCTGAAAGCATGTTATAAGTCTATCTTCTCACATTTTATCTTAAACTTCTATGGTGTAGTTTTCTTTTTATCACACAAAATTGGATTTTCCATGCAGAATCTATACAAAATCTGACAACTTTGCACAACCTGTAGCGTGAAAAAAAGTCTGGTGACCCATACTTTTTATTATATTTTTGAATCAAAGAGCTGATAGCTCTGAGGTGGAAGATGCATAAAAGGTAGCTAAGGACCACCTTCGGGTGCGGGATTTTCTTGCTGCATTGAAGACCCATTGGTGGCCTTCAGCTGTAATCTGCTCTTTGGTCGGGTTGTTGTCTCTTTGACATATTCCTCATTTCAATTCTCAATTTTATTTTTATTGAATTCCCATGAAAGCAGCCCACACCAACCCAGTCTGTTCTGTCACATTATTGCTTCCGACATGTTTTTTTCTTCCAAAAATAATTTTCTTTAATAATACTATAGTCTCAACCAAAACTGACAATACTAAACATAAAAATCTACAAATACTGTTGATTCAAATTAAATTTTTTATATAATTCCATATGATCGTCTCAGCATGGTCAACTTTATACATGCAATTATACCAGTAATTGATAAGGTTTCATTTGGTTTTTTTCTGTCAAAGGTAAATACATGTAGTTCACTTTGGGTATTCCAACTTCCTTAGTATTAAATTATCAAAGCACAAAGGGCGCTATAGGCAATTAATTAAAACATAGGTTGTTTACTACAAAAAAAATTGTCGTTGTGAAGATTTTATTAAATTATTTGATTTACATGTTATGTCATTGCGTCATTCTATGTATTTGGCAGATAGCATAGCTTATGGTAACAAGAGTGCACATGCTGAAATGTCTCGCCTTCTTTAATAACCATTGATATTATGTTGATAGTCCTTAATATAAAGCTTTACTATCAACCTTACAATCATTCAATACACAAAATATAGTTGACCTATTGCTTACAGTTTCTAAGAAACAGACTTAACCAAGAAAACTAAACATACACCAATGATCCATGAAAATGAGGTCAAGGTCAGATGAACCATGCCAGACAGACATGTACACCTTACAATCAACCTATGCATTAAATATAGTTGACCTATTTCTTATAGTATCTAAGAAACAAACTTAACCATGAAAGCTAACATTGACCAATGAACCAACAAAATGAGGTCAAGGTCAGATGATACCTTCCAGACAGAAATATACACCTTACAATCCTTCCATACAAAAAATATAGGTGACCTATTGCTTATAGTTTAAGAAAAACAGACCAAAACACAAAAACTTAACACTGAGCAATGAACCGTGAAAATGAGGTCAAGGTCAAATAAAGCCTGCAAGACTGACATGTGCATCATAAAATATTTCCATACACCAAATATAGTTGACCTTTTGCATTTAGTATTAAAAAAAAAACCAAAACTCAAAAACTTAACTTTGACCACTGAGTGAACCATGAAAATGAGGTCAAGGTCAGATAACACCTGCCAGTTGGACATGTACACCTTACAATTATTCCATACACCAAATATAGTTAGACATATTGCTTACAGTATAAGAAAAACAGACCAAAACACAAAAACTTAACTATAACCACTGAACCATGAAAATGAGGTCAAGGTCAAATGACACCTACCAGTTGGACATGTTCACCTTACGATCCTTCAATACACCAAATATACTATACCTATTGCTTATAGTATCTGAGATATGGACTTGACTGCGAAATCTTAACCTTGTTCACTGATCCATGAAATGAGGTCGAGGTCAAGTGAAAACTGTCTGACGGGCATGAGGACCTTGCAAGGTACGCACATACCAAATATAGTTATCCTATTACTCATAATAAGAGAGAAATTAACATTATAAAAATAAAATTTTCAAGTAGTCACTGAACCATGAAAATGAGGTCAAGGACAATGGACATGTGACAGACGGAAACTTCCTAACATAAGGCATCTATATGCAAAGTATGAAGCATCCAGGTCTTCCACCTTCTAAAATATAAAGCTTTTAAGAAGTTAGTGAATGCCGTCGCCGGATCACTATCCCTATGTCGAGCTTTCTGCAACAAAAGTCGCAGGCTCGACAAAAAGTGCATAAATTCACCACAATTCAATAAATTGTCTCAAATGAAAGTTTTCTACCATAAATTTTATTGACTAATAGTTAATATGAACAAAAGACAAATATGTACAAAAATGTAACACATCAACAAGCGACAACCACTGAATTACAGGCTCCTGACTTGGGACAGACACATACATACAGAATGTGGCAGGGTTAAACATATTAGCGGGATCCCAACCCTCCCCCTAACCTGGGACAGTAGTGTAACATGACTATATTTATATACTTGTTGTTTCTTTTGTATAAAGAAATAGCTCAAGACTACCTTAAACGATCTACAATATTCAAAGTAATATGTGAATTTGTTTCTTGCAATTTCATTATTCTTAGTCAAGGATACATTAACAGACTAACCCCTTCTTTGTAGAATTATTTAACAAAATGATGATGAAGAGCGGCTTGCAGTAAGCAAGCTCTTATACCCCACATAGTCCTTAATTATATATAAACTGAAATCTTTAAATAACAACATAAATTATTACAGAATTATCTTTTTTTCAAATGATTTAATGTTTGTGAGTCATTTATTTCAAATAATTAACCCGTACTAAAAGGTAAACGGACAGAATGTCACAGGACAAAAAGTCACAGGACATAAAGTCACAAATTTGATAGGACAAAAAGTCACAAATAATTTGTTGACAATTGTTTGAAAATATAAGAGAAAGATCTTGAAATATTTTCTTTTTATTACATATATTCATTTTTAAGTTTAGGAAATTGTTCATAAGCCTTGATAAATGAAAAATTATTAAATTTTAATCATGCAAAGGATATATTACTTGGCACAATGAAGCCATTTAAGTACCAAGCCACTTTGACATTTTGATTTCATAACAATTATTTGATCATTATTGATATTTATTGAATAAATTTTAATTACAAAGTTGCTTCATATATAATAGTTCAAGAAAAAACAAAAATTTAATTTTTTAAATTAGTGTTTTCTTGTTTAAAGAAAAATAATCTCAAAACTGAATTGTGACTTTTTGTCCTGTGACTTTTTGTCTGTGACTTTTTGTTCTGTGACTTTCTGTCCTACATTCTACTAAAATAAGGAGATGTGGTTACATGATTGCCAATGAGATAACAGTCTGATAACTATCCACCAGAGTCTAAATAATGTGGCTGTTGGCAGTTATAAGTCATTTTACATCATTATATTAAATTATAGCCTCATTTTTTATAAGGATGCATCTTTGGACTCAAAAGTTTTGAAAATGATGAGTCTAGACAGATTTTGATCAGTGCAGGAACAGGCATCAGACGTTCTTTCAATTGAAATAAAATATGGGCAATGGGAAGAAAATAGTGTATGCTATTTTTTTTTTATATATATGGACTATTTTCTTCCCATTTCCTACATTTTAGTACTTTTGACAGAACGTCTTGTGTCTGTGGTCCAGGACTCATGGACTCGCGTAAACCTTAGGCTGAGTGAGAACCCTGTATAATCTGTTGTTTTCATTTTTTTAGAGCTTCATATATGGTTATCATAAATGCATAACCTTTTTAAATGTCCAACTTGCCTGATTAGGGGCCCTGAGTCCTTTTCAAAAATCAGTATCCGCATCTGACTTCTAAGAACAGTAACAGTCTTCGCGATAAACTTTTGTATAGAACACAGGGGCGCGTATCATAGATGTTTTGGGGCGGATTTATATATGCCAGTCGACTGGTATGCGTTATACATTGTGTTAATAGCGGACTATGATGCGAGCACCTGTGTACTACGGTACAGAACAGGCCCGACATTGCGACAGCTTACGAAAATTTTAAGTTAAGACTCTTTTGAAATAATTGCCCTGTGAAGATTATTTTTTGCTGGCCCGAATGCATTTTTAAACCCATTTACCAATTGAATTGAATGGGCGTTTGATATACAACTATAGTAATAAGTATAAATGTAATATTATGTGATGAACCTACCCGTTTGGAAAATTTCTTTCAAATATGGCGGCAATGATGTTGTGATCTCGCTGAAATCTCGCTACCCAAACAGGATCAGAAATCGTTCGTCACAACTCGGCCGATTCCGTACCTCAATCTAACACTATAGACTGAGAGAAGCGGAGTCCCCCGAGGTTAGCCGATTAAAATTTTAACTTTATTTTCATTCTTAGGGATGACATCAAAAGATCAATGTAGGATAAAAAAACTTAAATCAAATAGTTTGGGGGTGGGGGGTTAAAATTGCTGCAAGTTTTGTTTATCCAAAATCGATTTTACATATATCCATATTGGTCAATCAATTTTTCCCAAATTAAGTTAAGAGGGGGGGGGGGGGGGGGGGGGGGGGGGGGGGGGGGGGGTCAGTGAAAAAACTATGTGAATTAAGTTTTTTTTTATCCTACATTGAACTTTTGATGTCGTCCCTTATTTGGGGGGAATCGTTATTTTCGGTTATTTTCGTAAAAAAAAATCAAGGATGCGCTTCTCACTAAAATCAAAACAAAGTACAGATTTTGCTCGGAATTTCATCACAATAAAACTTTGTTTACTTTATATCAAATATTTTGTTTTATTTAATTTTAATTGCTCCGATCGAAATACAAATTTATTTTATATTTATTTCTCAAATCACATTAAAAATTACCGTACTGTAAAGGGGTATTAAAAAGATCTGAGACTAATTAGTTTAACATATTTTATTTGCTTATATATACAAAAGGGATGAGACACAAGTTAATCAAACTTATATATAGACTTCTCCCATGAACAATTATAACAATAGAATATTTACAAAGCATGCATGCAAACAATACATTATAATATATATATATATTAGAACTGTGAAAAAAATATGTGTGATGATGTGAATGGTTGTACACCCTATGCATGTATTTGCACTTAAGTGTGCTATATTACACAATTAGAAACCTCTTAGACTCTTTCATAAATTCATATACATTCTTCACAATTCTTTCAGTTCAACAGTAGTTAAAGACGTATCACCGGAGGTTAAGAAGTTCTTAAGTTGAGAATTCTCTTGTAACCAGTTCAGATTATTTAATAATTTGGTTCTTATATTCGCATAATTAGGACAAAAAAGAGAAGTGATATGAATATTCACACTTAGCACCACAACTACAAGACGAATCTAAAATAACATTGACTCTGTTAAGATCATAATAGATAAGATAATATCACATGTGTAATGGTAGTCTCATAAAAGATGAATTATTTGAACCAAGGTTTTGTAAAGTACCACCAAGGATTTGTATAGCGAGACTCACTACACAAATCATTGGTATTTTATACAAATCCTTGTTTAAATACTCAAAAAGGCGTAAGCCAAAGCCGACTGTGCAGTCCCTAACCTAAAGGAAAAATCTTTAAATCTCCCTTTTTTTACTTGTAGTAGTATGTAACGGGCGGAAATTGAGAATGGAAATTGGGAATATGTCAAAGAGACAAATTCATATAAAAATTTCATATGAGTCCTTCAAAATTACTCATACATTGATAACAAAATATATTCAGTTTAAAAGGGAATTCTCACAAATTTTGCTGGTTTAAAATGTTGTCAGATATCTACAGGTTCGCTCATTATCGAAATGAAAATACAATTTTTTCCAGGAATTAGCGGAAAACAACCCAAATTCACATGATTTATTTCCATTTTTATGCATGCCTACATATCAAAGTCGCTTAAAATATCTACACAATATTTTAGATGCGGTCTCTAAAAACACCACAAAGGACATTCTTTGTGCACAAAGGAGCACAAAGGAGTTTTATAAGAGAACAAAGGACTTAAAATTGTGTATATAATGGAGAAAACAGTCATTTCATACGAAAAAAAAAATAAATACTAAATTGAAGATTTACGAAACGAAAATCGGTATGGATATGCACAAGGTTACATCATTTTTTAGATTATGAATTATCGAAGATTTTATTGTTATTATACATATATTTTGAAATATTGCAAACCATGAACTTAAAAATAAACTGAGACTTTACAGAAGAAGAAAAAAGTAGCATAAATTGTTTGTCAAAATTTCAATTCCACAAATAATAACTAATTGTATAATGAGGACTTGATTGCGCTTGCATGGCATTAACAGAGATGTTTTCTTTACAATTAATTATCAGTGTTGATAAAGCCAGTCTTTAAAAACAAGGAAACTGTTTCAAATACAATTATTTGTACTTAATTTTTGAAAATACAACAAAAGGGAACTTCAGACTATGCAAAATTAATATAAATCACTCAAGGGGTGATCAAAGACATCGTCTATTGAGGTAAAAAGGGGAAAATAGAAACCAATTTACTCAAAATTTTATAAGGAATATAGAATGAGAAAGTTATAAAGTTGTAAAAAAAATATACAATGTTTTTCCCTTTCAATTCTTGCCAGAATTTACTAGTGTAATTTCCGAAAGAAAAAAAAAGATTTATACTGTGTTTCTTTTTTCTGACAAATGAATTTGACATATTATCAAAAAGGTTTTATGTATTTTTATTACCTTTGTATCTTTATCAATATTTAATCTCAATTACCAGATTAAAATTTTCACACCTCTGTCACGTCACAGATGTACTTTTACAACCATGTGTATTAACGGAACGACTGAGAGGTGTGAAAATAAAATAGATGTAAGAAAATAGTGTCATTTTTATTACAGGAACAGTTAGAACAACTTCTGTGATGTTGCTTAAATTTAACTCTAAATGGATAATCCACATGCAGGTGTTCTTTACATCCTTGTGTAATCATAAACAGTGTCAGCTAAGTTATGAAAAGTAAAATGAGAGATACAATAGTCATTTAAAAATAATAATAATAAAAATAAAATAATAATAAATTGTAAAAAGTTTATGTACAAATAGGTATAAAAAGAGCCAAATGAATAATTCCATACACTATAATTAATGCTCCGTTTTGAAGACCGTACTTAAACCTATAATCGTTCACTTTTACATTGAGATAGTAAAGCAGTTTAACTATTTTGGAATTGTTTTTACTAAAACAGGGAATTATAATATGACAAAAAAAAACCAAAAAAACATTTATCCGATAAGGCCTTAAAAGCCATGTACGAAGTCCTGAAAATGGGAAGGATGTATCAGCTTTCTGTAAAATGTCAGCTTGATTTTTTTTACAACATTATCAAGCCCATGGGTGCGAAGTATGAGGTTTTAGTAATGATGAGATATTAGAAAAGATACATTTAAAATTCTGAAAATTACTTTTAAATCTGAAATCCTCAAACCCAAATTTATATGGTTTACGGGGAACTAGGTCGCCATCCGATCAAACATAGATATAAAAGTTCGAGCAGTATAATTTTGGGCAAATTTGATATCCGGCAAACAAGAAAAGTTTTCCTTTATATTGTATCAACTTTCTCGCCATATGAATGCTCATTATAACATGCAGACTAAATGGATTATATTTGTCAAAAAAATATTTCAAGATTGTGGTTTGTTATATATAAGGGAAACACAAAATTTCATAAATAAAGATTGGTTAAAAGCTGTTATAAAGCAAAGATTGTTAAACCAGTTTCGTCAGAATTGGAATTCGCTTATCCATAATTCATTTAAAGCTATTAACTACAAAAATATAGTGGGAATTTGAGGAATATTTCAATATTTTGGACTTGAAAGATACCGTTGTTCTTTGTCTATTTCGAACGACTAATAACAAATTGGCATTGCCGATTGAAACAGGAAGGTGGCAAAACGTATTAAGAGAAAACCGTGTTTGCCATCAATATAATAATCAACCATTTGGAGACGAATATCACTATATATTTGAATGTACTTTTTTCCGATCAAAAACGTATAAAGTATTTATCCTCCTATTTTGTGCAACGACAACTGATGTCGAATACACGAAAACCAGTCCTGAAGAAGCTTTGTTCATTTATTAAAAATATTAATTCTTTTGTTTGTCCTCCTGGCTAGTGACTTTTGTAACCTCTCTCCTTGTTTTGTATATATTGTAATAGTTATTGTTGTTATCTCTGTACTTATGTCATGCATTGGCTTTATGAGAATAAAGACATATATAATAAAAAACTTAAAAACTTTATATACAAATTGTGACTTGGATGGAGAGTTGTCTCATTGGCACTCATGTCACGTCTTTTTATATATCTATTTATCAGTAAGAAAATTTGACAAAAAGAATATAGTGTAGTGCATGTTGGGAAAAGTGTCGGAAATTTCTTATTAATATAAAGTAACATAAGAAATGTATATTTGCTGTATTTTAAGAGACCGTATAGGTCTCAAGGGTGTTGAGTGGAGACGGTGTTTTAACCTTGTTTCATAACTCTTTAGTAGGGGAGTGGTAGTGAATGATATATTTTTTAACATTAATAATACTTTATTCCAAAAGCAATACAGCTTGTAGGATACATACATATACTAATAATAATGAAATAATATTGTATGCACCAATAATAGGAATGTTTACAAAATATTTTTGAGTTATTGGAGAAAGCATTATGCTTAAGCAACGAACTTTTACAACATGACAAATGATAAAAAGTAGAGAGCAATACAAAAAGACATAAAAAGAAAACAAATCAGTTCGAGTAACAATATGAGATCTGAATGACCATGCGAATTTTATGTAATTACACAATTTCTTTAAAATAATGAATGTGTTTGTTTTAAAAGTTAATCAGACGTTAACTTAAATAAATACTGTAATATAGGGACAATTCAATTTCGACAAATGCTACGACCAAATTCATCTATAGGCAAGGGCATACTAATACAAAGTGATATTCGTTTTCAACCCACTGCCTTCGAGTAATTCTCTACCCACATCAGTATATCTTCCTTTTCAATTTCAGCTGTAGTGTACATTATTTTGTACTACTACGCAATTGAGGTAAAAATTGGCAATTATAACTGTTTAACAGTAATCTAAAAACTCTTGGGAACTAAATTTTAATTTTATATATATTCGTCAAAACTAAATTCTATTTTTTTTATTTTTCAATTACCTAGTACGTTTTTCGCAACTTTCTACAGATACTAACCAGCCTTATATAAACGTAACTTTAATTCTATCTTTTTTTTTTTATAAAATCATCGATATGTACAATACTGTGTATTTCTGACTGTCGACAACACATACAATGTAGACCACTATCAAATTAAAACATTTGAAATAAAAGGTTTCAGCTATTTTTTTTAATTTTTAGGATTATCATTTATTTCAAAAACGTAAATAAATAATATAATAAAAAAAAATAGAAAGTGTTCGTTTTTTCTTCTAATTTAGCCCCTCCCATTTCATATTATGCAGTTATCAGTGATTGGTCTACCAATTAGAATGACCATACCTGATTAATTACCAACCCTAATTGGTCAATCACATGATTGGCTAATTAATTTCTCATTTTAAGACTTGTTTCCCCTGTCAGAGTTCATATCTACGCACCTTTCATTCGAACTCTTAAAGTGAATTAATCTTAACGCAAAGTATGGCTTCGGGCAGTAGCAAAGCCCTTTTTTGGTGGTTCACTAGTGATTCAGAAAACAACACACTGATGTTTGCCTGCACCAACAAACCTGGTCTGTTCCCCGTACTTGAAGTTTCCTTAGGTGAAGTGACAATAATAGACGTGAAGATTTCAACTGATGAAGACGAGGTAAGTACTTTCACCTTTAAGATCTTTATTTCAGCTGCTTGATTTAATTTGAAATAAAGAAAGTTAAAATTGTCAAAGTTAGAACGGTTAATGAATCACTTTAAGAATTTACGTTCGAATTTAAGGCCCATGTATAAGTTTGGGATATACTGGCTCACTTCTCAACGTTAGACCAGAGACATAAATAATACAATTATATTATATGTCTATGGTTAGACTTACTACGTTAATTATAGGAGTGAGTCGCTATTTTCAGTAAATTTGTAAATGTGATAAAATCGAGAAATTAAGATGAAATATATTTTTTTTCTATAAAAATAGCGTAATCTTAAAAGGTATAGATATATTTATTATTGTTTGTCCTGTGAGAGGCTGAGGGGAGGATGAATCTCTTTTTTAAGGGTCACACTGTAAGGTGTCATAAACACATTTCCATCGAGAGTATTATGTATAAGTAAAATGGGTTATAAACTTTTCACGTCTAAATAAAATGTCACCAATTGAAATCATTGTACATGTCTTTATTGTTTTTAAACATAATTCATTTATAGATAGAATCTAAACTAAAGCAGAGCCTATGCATGCGTGTCTTTTTTTCTAAAAAAATATTCTGATCCCCAATTTGATGAAAAAAAATATTCTGGTCAAGCAGTTCATTTGACAGAAATAATTTGTTCTGAAGTGTATGATTCTGCTATGAAATATACGATTTATATGTCATAATGATTTATATCTGTGGGTCATGATTTTCGCAAAACTTTGAAAATGAGTTTTTTTAAACCCAAACCTCAAAATGTCTTTGGGGAAGTTTAATTTCAGGTTGGTTATATGGGAGGACAGTTCGTTTCAGTTTCCATGCTATAGATCTTAGCCTTTTAATTTTGTAGTGCATGAATGTTTATTGTAATAACTGATTAATAATCCGGAACCTCTTGGCATTTCCCACCAGATTCTAAAATTATTTATTTACATTGACTGGTTTCTCTCGTGTCGATAATTTCTGCATATCACATGCATTACTTATATCCAATTAAGGTGCCCAGATTTATGTTTAAAAAGCCGCCATAAGTTTTTCCATGCTAGAGCCTAGCTGCGTAAATTGTCAGAAAAAGTATATCATAAGGACTTATGAGCTACGATTCTGCAGCTATCTAAACTAAAGCAGAGCCTATGCATGCGTGTCTTTTTTTCTAAAAAAATATTCTGATCCCCAATTTGATGAAAAAAAATATTCTGGTCAAGCAGTTCATTTGACAGAAATAATTTGTTCTGAATGCAAATTTCCACCAAACCTGATTAGTGTTACATTTTGAAAAAATAACCAATTGATCGTGTCGAAAACTAGATAAATTTGTTCGCGCTTTGCATGAAAAAAAATTACTAAGAAAAAAAAACATACCCCCCCCCCCCCCAGCCTCCCCACCACCTTGTAGTTAAATGCTTGCTCACTTAGGTTAAGTCTTTGCCAATGGACACCAAATTACTGAAACATGGGCATTAGCTACGAGATATGAAGGAAAATAGAATATGATTTTGTTCAATCATAATAAAAATGAAATAATGAAATAATATTTCGCTTTAATCATCTAATTTGGTTAGATTTTGTCAAAATAAGCAAAGAAACATCATTGTTGAATTATTCACTTGCTAACTTGACATTAGCTAGAGATTGGTTACACATGCATTAGTCGGGTTCAGCCATTAAAAGGAAAAGAATGTCAACACTGAAAGTGAAACAAAGATAAACTATTTCATTGACTGATTCGATCCACAAAAAATCATTCTTATACAGGTAAAAACGATAATTAACTTTTTTTCAACCTATGAAATGAAATGAAATCAAACCTAAATTCCAATTGCATGAGGTCACTATCTGTTTATATTTATGTTTATGTTTATATCAGGTTATATGACCATCGGCAGTCTTCAGAGGTCATCTTGATAGTTGATAAGAGGGCGTCTAGACTAAAATACACAAGAAATTCTAATATAATATATTTTGGAGCACACTTTTTTAACTGTTTATTTCAGACTTATTGTAATTTTGATATATATACATGCATCATGTGTATAGGTTTTAGTATTTTATAAACCAAATATGAGAATTTGAGTCAAATCAGTCAACATGAATTTGACAGCTAATATGCCCCTTTCAGTGATGAACATTTCTGAGGTGGGGGCCTGGCAAATTTGAAGAGGTCAGAATATTTATTTCAAAATTAACCAATACACATTTTCAAACATCCTGGCACTTTAAATTTTTGAATTTAAGGTGAGATTCTCTGTGGGAACTTACAAAATAAAAAGTAAGGTGGCCAGATTATTTATTTTCACTCTGATCATAATCAAGGCCAGAATATTTATTTTTTTGTTGATCTACAAACGCACCAAAACTGCCCCCACCCCTTTTTCAGAATAAATTTATCGCCTTAACTTATTGTATTTTATGTGATACACACAACATATTTTTAGGATGCACATATAACTGCAAACAAAAAGAGCAGTCAAATTGAAGCCTATATATAAATTTTTTGATATGAAAGTATGGAATGGTAAAATTTCCAGCAAATGTAGCAATCTTATTGATGTTGAAGATTTCAGAAATAAACTTTTATTTTTTCAGGTCAAAAGGAAGGGGTGTAATCTATTGGCCCTCAAAATTACCCCTGACAAAAAAATTGCTCTTTTCAAATTTTGCATACTGAATGATCTATCACTATTGGAAGATTAAAGAGAGCCAAAAATATCTTAAACATATTAAATATTTTGGGCCAGAATATTTATTTTCATATGCGAAGTAAAAGCTAGATTATTTATTTTCACCTATAAAATCAAACATCTAAATGGGGGCCAGAATTTTTATTTCCATATTCTACCATATTCCCCAAAAATAACTGACCTGGCCATTTAAAATAGACCGGGTTAGGGGAATCAACAATATTTTTTCCTGGCCTAAGTAACCTACTTCACATAAGTTCAGGATTCCAAAGTTTTAATAGCATTGAAAGCAACTTGCATTTTTATAACTTCCAGGGTTAGGTCACTTACACAAAATGTATTAATTTACTATGGTTTTAAAAATTAGATCATCTCTCTTTAATCTCACATTTTTTTGCTATAAAAAAATCATATCAATGAACTATCCATACATTAAAAAAAGGATGGACTCTTACTGAATCATGTCAATATTAGATGTTATGTTGAAATCTTTTTAAATGGCAAATTTAAGGTTTAGCAAGTTATGATCATAATATTAAGGTTTTGTGAAATTTTAAAATGCAATCATACACGACTTTATTTCAATTTGGTCTGAGTCCTCTACTCAGGTGAATTGATATGAGTTCCCCCCTCCCCAGATATTCAAATAAGTTGATTTGAGATTTCATTGAAATTGAAACAAGGTCAAAGTTAAATTTGATATTCTTTATTTTAAGCCCACCTGGCCCGAAGGGCCAAGTGAGCTTTTCTCATCACTTGGCGTCCGTCGTCGTTAGCTTTTTACAAAAATCTTCTCCTCTGAAACCACTGGGCCAAATTTAACCAAACTTGGCCACAATCATCATTAGGGTATCTAGTTTAAAAAATGTGTCCAATGACCCCGCCAACCAACCAAGATGGCCGCCATGGCTAAAAATAGAACATAAGGGTAAAATGTAGATTTTGGCTTATATCTCTGAAACCAAAGCATTTAGAGTAAATCTGACATAGGGTAAAACTGATTATCAGGTCAAGATCTATCTTCACTGAAATTTTCAGACAAATCTGACAACCTGTTGTTGGGTTGCTGCCCCTGAATTGGAAATTTTAAGGAAATTTTGCAGTTTTTGGTTATTATCTTGAATATTATTAAAGATAGAGATAAACTGTAAACAGCAATAATGTTCAGCAAAGTAAGTTCTACAAATAAGTTGTCATGACCAAAATTGTCAGTCGACCCCTTAAGAAGATATTGTCAAGTCAATTTTTAACAATTTTTCGTAAATTTTTGTAATCTTTTACAAAAATCTTCTTCTCTGAAACTACTGAGACAAATTTAACCATACTTGGCCATAATCATTATTAGGGTATCTAGTTAAAAAAATGTGTCCGATGACCACGCCTTCTAACCATCATGGCCGACTTGGTTAAAATTAGAACATAGGGGTAAAATGCAGTTTTTGGTTTATATCTCTGAAACTAAAGTATTTAGAGCAAATCTGACAGGTGGCAAAAATGTTCATCAGATGTAGATTTATCTGCCCTGAAATTTTCAGACGAATCCGACAACCCGTTGTTGGGTTGCTGCCCCTGAGTTAGTAATTTTACAAAATTTTGCAGTTTTTTGTTATTATCGTAGATATCATTATAATATCTAATATCTAATACTATTAATTATAATTTTAACCTTATTTTACATGATTTCCAAAGCATCAGTAAATACAGGTGAGCGACACAGGCTCTTGAGAGCCTCTAGTTTAATGTTGCTATTGGTACAAGGTATTTTAGTCATTAGTGTATTGAGTCTTGCTCCACTCTTGTTACATGCTTATTAAGACAAGTTGAGAACATTTTTTTATTATTTTTTTTTATCTTCAGGCAGAAGAAGAGATATTGGCAGGCCTCCCCCTGCACAGATACAAAGCTGTAGATAAAACCTTCACAACTTTGGAAAACAGGAAATCAAGATCCAACTTTCTAACAGACCTTCAGGATACACTTGACAGTCTTCAACTTCAGTTTGCAAGAATAGAAGGTATTACATTTATTGATTAAATAAATAAAATTGTTCTCTAATACAATTGATTTATATAAATTTCATTGTTGTTTTTGACAAATATATATAAAGACACAAATTTTTGTTTATTATACCCCATGCAACGGGTTTATGTTTTTGACCCGTCTGTCCGTCCGTCTGTCTGTCTGTCTGTCTGTCCTGTTTCTTGTCATCTCAAGTCCTCTCAAACCACACAACAGAATTACACGAAACCTTTTTAGATAATAAGGACATACTATGTAGTTGTGCATATCGACAGGAAATTGTGATTCAATTTTTTTTCTAGGAGTTGCGCCCCTTTGAACTTATTTACTTTAATGTACTACTGCAACAGTTTGTCATTGCAACTCCTCTGATACCACACAACAGAATTTCATGAAACTTTTTTAGATAACAAGGACATACTATGTAGATGTGCATATCAACAGGAAATTACGGTTCAATTTTTTTTCTAGGAGTTACGCCCCTTTGAACTTATTTGCTTCAATGTACTACTGCAACAGTTTGTCATCGCAACTACTCTGATACCACACAACAGAATTTCATGAAACCTTTTTAGATAATAAGGACATACTATGTAGATGTGCATATTGACAGGAAATTATGATTCAATTTTTTTTTCTTATACTATTTTTTTTTCTTACACATTTTTTATTTCTAAAGACAATGTGGGGACGTGGGGTATGTGAGCGCGCTCACTAAGGTTCATTAATTAAAATTGTACTGGATTTGAGTAAATATACACAGCATTATAAAAAATCAGTCCTGTCCTGGTGAGTTACTGTTCTAACTTCTTTAAGCAAAGTTGACCTTGGATGAATTTGACTATGTTTTTAATATAACAATAAGGAGATGTGATATAATGAGACAATTTCCTCATCAAGAGACTGAATGTTGTAAAGTAAGCAACTATAGGTCACTGTACGGCCTTCAAAGATGAGTAATACCCACATCCCATAACAATTACGTTTTTAATAATAAATCAGTACACATCCAATGGATTTATTAGTATAAAAAAGACATCATAAACATGATAAACAGTCAGAAAAAAATATTATCTTGTGCAATGCCAAAATATATTTAGTTTTAGAAATGAAAGAATTCTGATTTCTTATGGTTATATAGCTTCTTATGTTTCTACATCTTTATACATGTCAGGATTTTGAAAGTAAAGGGTTTGAGCGTTCCTGATGATGATAAATCTCTGTTTAACACTGTGACTTAGATATAATAATTAAAACAGATACATTGCTATTATGATAAACAGATCATGGAACTTGTAAATATATGTGTTTCTTAATTACAGCTTAAGTTACTTAATCATTTAACATGTTTAATGTAAAAAAAAGTCAATTGATTGAAAATTTGGAATTTATTATTTTTGAAAATTTTAGAGGAAATACCAGCAGCCAAAAGTAAGCCAACACAAAAGACAAAGACAAAATTTGTCCATAAGAGTCTGCATGAAGAACTCAGGGTGAGTACTAGATTCTTAATTTTATCACATCTGATAAATGGTGTATACAGATTGAGTACACACAAGGTGATTCAGTATACATGGTATAGAAAACCCCATGTAGTCTCATTTCTCAAATGGTGTGCCTCTTTGTGAAAACAATATATATTATACATGTTATATGATTTATTTTATGAACTTTTATTCAATCTTCAATATTTTTTACTTGTATCATGTACTGTCATGAAAATGTATAGCATGTACTTAAAAACCTGTTTTATTTTATTTTGGCAGTCTTGATTCCTTATTATGATTTATATTCAAGCAGACAAAATCATTTGATTAGTAATATTTGGTGCAGTTCAAATTTTCAAAGTCTAAAATTGTAAAAGGTTTTGAAATGAAATTTTTGTTTTGAAAATTCTTTTGGTTTCACTTACACCATTTGTACACTAACAGCCTTGACCATTTATTGACCACATGATGCTAATTGAATATAAAAGGGTATTTATGCATGATATATGCCCAAATTGATTTTTCAAAATGTAATACAATGGTCTAGGTCAATAAATTATGGATTGAAATTGAATACATAAAAGGTCATTCTGGACAGTTGTAATTTTAAAACTGTTATTGTAATTGCCCTTTTAAAGTGTGCCATGGTACATAGTCTGCATCCCCTTTTTTCGCTACAGTGGATTCAAATTGTGTGTGATTGTTGTGATTTTTTCTTGGAAAACCCTTTCCATCATCAGGTAGAAGTTGAAAATACTTGTCAATGAAAAGGATTCAAGTAAAAACTTAAATAGATCTTAAATGAGTTTATGTCCTTCAAAATTAATTGAAAGTTGTGTTTTTATTGGATTTTTATATTAAATTTGCATTTTGATAGGGATAATGTAAATTATTAGTTCAATTACAAATTTGAATGTTACATAAGATAAAATATCAAAATCAAGTTTTCTCTTTATTTCTCAAAACTAGGCCCGTCGCCAGCAATTTTAATTTCGGAGTTAAAAACGTGGATAATACCAGCCTGAATTTGAAAGTTAACAATTAAACAATGAGTTTATTGCCCTAAATATGAAGGTATGATATGCATTTGTGTAGTAATGTAGTACAAATTTCTGAATGTATATTTGTAGATCATGAGAGAGGCCCACCCAGACTCAGGGGCAGCACCAAGACAAACTTTTTTAAACACCTCTAACAGACTGTGGAGAAAGAAGGTGATGCCTCTTTTAGGCTTCAACCCAGCAAAACATGTAAGTTTGAAATTCATATATCAGGATAACAGCCAGCTTATTTATTCTTGCAGGCCCTCTATTTTCGACTAATCAGTAGAAAATAATTGAAAATTAAATTGTTCCCAACATGTCTAACATAGATCAAAACTATGATACCAAAAAATCATGAAACGAATTTGGTGCAAAATTGTCCAGAAAAGACTAAATGCTTAATAGAGTATCACTTTTAAATAAGTTGGGTTTAATACAGTACACACATTTGGAAAATAATATGTACATGATGTATACATTTAAAAAAGAAGATGTGGTATGATCATGATGATTACCAATGAGACATCTCTTCACATCAGACCAAATGACACAGAAAATAACAACTATTGGTCACTGTACGGCCTTCAACATTGAGCAAAGCCCACACATGCCTAGTCAGCTATAAAAGGTTCGGAGTTTCAACAAAAGCTTTATTATGTAAAATCGACAAAAGTCAAACTCACAACATACCAGAATGCAATGTGTCTAAATACATGTTTTTTTATAATCAATATATAGAAATGTAGGATAATGGTTTATTAAAATGGCAAACACATTCAACTTATAGTTCAAATATTAATGTGATGTTATATTGGACAAAAAATGTATTGAGATTGATATAATTTTAATCTTATAGTTGCATTTCTGATGACATGAAAATGGCAATTATGTCTTATAATTTTGTCACACAAATACGATAACTTTTTCGGCAGTTCTCATGATTGAAAAAAAATGTTTGTGTATAAGAACATGATCTTTTTACTGTTTTGAATGAAAATAGAACATCTCTCAGGACTGTGTAGATACTAAATGTAATGAAATATTGTTGAAATGTAACACATTTAATTCCAGGAAGGTACTTTTGGTGGTTCATTCAAGGAACAGATTTACCTGTCAACCCTTCCAGAGTGCTGTTTTGACCTGGTTATAGATGTAATCAACTCCCATGATGCTGGGTTACTGCACCAATCAAATAGGAAGGAAACTACCATTAAACCAGGACTTTTTAAACATCTTGTTGGTGTCAAATCAGAAGTAGTAGTGCACAGACATCTAAGTCAACTGAATAGCGGACTGATCAATCTGCCAGAGTTTCGTCAACAGACCAAAGATATAAAGGTAACTTATAAGTAAAAGGAAATAACAAAGAAAAATGATTAAAGAACAGCAGCATTCTGTTTTTGTTAAATATGGTGTATTTCTGTTGATTTATATCTTAAATATCGAAAATCATATATTCCCCTGTTATCATAACTATAATGATAACAAATGGTGTATATTTCCTTTTATCATATTTTTGTAGTTACAAGCATCAAGTAATCTTTTTGTGAAGCAAAGTCAATATTGTTTTTATATCTTAACATTATATAAAATGACAAATTGACAGTAACAAATTGAAAAAATGTTATAATTATTACAGCGTTAGTTTTATGAAAAGTTATCATTTTACAAACAAGTGATCCAGTGCCAATGAAACACAAATAACAGGTTGTTGTAACCTATTTAAGTTGGAGAAGATGTAGTATCAATCAGTAATTTTGAAAATAAAAGAATTGAGGAAATTTTTGAAATTAAAAAAACACCTTTAGTTCTATACACTGTCTCCATAACAGACAAGGATCAATGTCCATTTGTAAATTGTTGACTCTGGTAAAGATATTGGTTAATTAAAAAGAGCTTAACTTTCTTTTCAGTCAATATCAATTTTTTTTTGCATCTTTCAGCTTCAGCATCAGAGTCAAAACAGCACACCAAGTGGCCCAACAGTGAGACGGTTACAGGTATGATATATAAAAAGAGATGTGAAATATTTGCTTTTAGTTCAAGTCTTGTTCTGTCTAACATAGGACTAGCACATTTATTGAGATGAACAAGGTGTCTATTTTAGTCATGATATTTCTGCTTGAAATAAAATTCAAGTTATATCTTTGTTTTCATTTACATTATTATATTAGAGGTAATCGATGTTCAAATCACTAAAAGAATTCTAGCTGTAATTTATAGATGGTGTTGTACAGTCTGTTTGGAAATACATATATAGAGAGACCTGGATGTAAAGAACTTATCTGTGTTATATGTAATCTTCCATGTTTTAAATCTTTTTATTCCATTTAATCATATATCAGGTTAAAGACTTTAAATCGATTGTTATTTTCTTAAAGAATTGGCAAGAACACTGATTTATAACTTCCAATTTAAATTGCAGAAGCCCCCTTTTGTCTAACATCTTGAGTGAAAATTGTGTACTAACAGAATCAGAATTGTAAATAGTAAATAGTCTAATAATCTCTTCTTTTTTGTTGCCACATTTCCAAATCAATACTTTACATTTATTTGGAAAAGTTAAGATGTAAACAAATTCCTAATTGCAACAATTATTTGAAATATCCCCATCAACACATAACTAAATGAAACATATACATTGAATTTGTTTTTTTGTAGAATGAGATTCTTCGACTGAAGTCCCGAGTTGAAGAGTTGGAAGAGTTGGTTGAAAGAAATCAGACACCAGATCAGGTACTTTTTTTTTACTTTGTGTGCGGCAGTGGTAAAATGTCAATCAGATTGTCAGTCAATTGTCTTTCACACTTTCAAACCTGTTCATACCAAGAAAAGGACAGGAAGTTATTGAGCAACTCGATAGAGTGCTTTTAAAAATAAGAACCACACATTAGTGTTTAATTATCGATGAATCCTCTGTTAGACATAAACCAAACCAAGAAAAAAAAAACAAAACATGTAGAGGCTTACAGGCGGTCATCAACAATCAAATGTTAATATTTCAATCTACCAAGTTTTATTAAAATATATGATTACATTGGCAAGTATGTTATTTAACAATTGAACAATTGTAGCAGATCAAATACATCAGTTTGCGAATGTAGATGTATAAATACTACTCATTTACATTTTTTTTCCTGTACCAACTACAATATGAAACTGGTTTAAGGCTTTAGCAGTTTTAGCTGTTTAAAATTTAATGAACATAGACACTTGATGAATTTAGGTTGCTTTTCCTAGATATGTATTTTCTCATATACACTGAAGTGACTTTCTATGATTTACATCACATAATAATATATATTGAAAACTCTTTAAATGTTTTTGTAGGATGTGTATGAATTTGATGACACTGACCTCTCACTCAGAGAACAAGATATGGAGGTTACAATTGAGGTAAGCTTTATTTTATCATAGGTCACCCTTAATTTTGTGAAATCATGTTAATTGTAAAAATTTTGTATGCATTTATAACAAAACGTGGTAAACTAAAAATCCAGATGTTACAATACACATTTTTATGGACAAGCACATTTTGAATTTTTATGGTGCTTACTGATTAAGCGTAAAAGACAATCACCCTTGATTTAATAAAAAACTCAATGCATGTGTTATGCTGAACCATTATAATGACCCATAAAGCCATTAAGAGTTTGATGTTCTTTAAATATTTTTTTTCTTCAAATTTTTACTTCAGATTTTTCAGAAATCGAGATATCATAAAAAAATATAAGTGAAATTTAAATGTCACACCGATACCCTCATCCATTTGATTGTAAGCCAACAACTGATATGACAATATAATACTATTCTAATGAGAAGTTTTCAATTTTTGTTATATGATCTTTTATGAAAGAATTTTTTTTATCTTTTAGAATGAAGAGTTGGATGTCATTCCTGATACACCAACAGGTTCACAAGTTAGAACCATTCCAGAAACACCATCCACTTCCAAGGTAAATTATCTGATTAAGATGCCAGTAGATAAAAGTTAATGATACATTTAAAATGTGTTAGCTATGGTGCCTTAATTATCTTCTTGTATCACTAAAAAATTGAGCTTTTTTATGAATTTGGTTTTCAGTTCTAGCTACCTAATCATTAAATGCATATTAACAACTGAAAGAAAAGACATTGTGCTTTCATTGGTGTAAAATAGTTTTTTAAACAATTTATTCTGTACAATAAAAGTCAGATTTATAGTTTAACATATCTGAATTTGGTTTATTCATGTAAAAAATCATTATTATGCACCTTTTTATTGCCAGAACAATATTTTGTTCAACCTGGCAATTTGAATCTTGATCCAGTTTCAGACAGAAGTATAAACTTTTGACATATTGAAGTCAATTAACATCCTTAACATAATTGATTGTTAAATGGGACATTTATTTTAGGCAACCAGTAGCAGAAAAAGAAACAAAGAAGGAGAGCTTCTAAACATCCTTGACAGACTCCGCGAGGTATGAATGCATGGTTTTAGTTATTTAAGCCAAGTGGATCGTAATTTTTCTTATTTCAAGCAAGTTGATAATTGCAAGCTTTTATTAAAAAGTTCATTGATTATTTACTACATTCTAAAATACACAATTTTAAGATGACCCATATTAATCTATATGCAAACATATAAATAGCAATCAACCTTTGTGCATCTATTAGATATATGTGTAATTTGTTGAGTATAAGAAAAGTCTTAATTTAAGAAATGTGGATCGTAAACAAAGTTTAAAAAAAGATGTACTGATACCAAAAAGATAAGTTTGAAATTCATTTTATTTTTTTTATACTCAATCATATGGAAATAAGCAAATATCTATTTGCAAAATCATCACATATTTTGTACAAGTTAGTCAGATGACAATTACAAGATATCATATTGACTTTCTCTTTTACTTCTATAATAATCATCACCCGACTTTTAACATGTTTAATATGATACTGTTATGCCATATTTTTATGTTTGTATTTGTTTTATTTTAAAAGCGTGCAGAAAAAACACAAGAAGATGACCAGACAGAAGAGATTCATGTAATATATATTTTTTTTTAAATTAATTTTCTCATCGTTTATAAGAATAAGAAAATGTGGTATGATTGCCAATGAGACAACTGTCTACCAGAGACCAAATTACCTAGATTTTAACATTGATAGGTCACCATATGTTTTTCAACATTGTCTATAGACAGTTTTGTCTATTAGCTCAATTTGGTTTAAAAGAAAAAAAAATAATTGTGAGGTAATCTATGGTAAGACATCTTGTCAATAACATAACTAAAATTTAGTTATTATTTATGAAGTATGAAACCTTATCGGGAAATAAAATTATCATCTTGCAGCTAATGGCCTGTAACTTGTATGGATTATTTCAACCAGAGATATTTTTTTTCCAATTATTTATTGCAGTCTTAAACAAATAATGCAGCAAAAATGGTTGTTTGTCAATTTAGTATTAAAAAAATACTTCTTAAACTATTTTTAGCCTAACAATGTCCAGCATTTACACTTGCTAACATATCGAGACAGATTAGCTGAGAGTTGTCTAACTCTGATCTCAGTTTAAAATACACATTTGTATGGGTTCTGCTGTGTGTAATTTACACATTATTTAGACACAACAAAACTTCTGTGCTGTCTTCCACAAATATGAGAAATTAATAAACTATTAATATGCATTTTACCTTCAAAATTACTGCATTACTTTTCTATTCTTTTTAACAGTATTTGTTTGTGAAAATATTTAAAATAAATTCTATATTTTAGGTCTTTACTAAAGGTGAAAAGGTGTCTGCCTACTATTCCAATGATAAGAAATGGTACGATGCTGTTATTACTGCAGTTTTAAAAGACGGTTAGTTATTATTTTTCATAATTATAAGTTATACCATTGAAAAATAAATTGTGGTATGAATACAAGTAACGAAATGCATGCAGTCAGCAAATCATCATTTTTTTATAATTTGGGATATTGTCAAAATCTGTTGATGGATTGATTTTTATTAATGTTAATGTCCATTTGCAAATACTTCATGCATATTGAATAGAACTGATGTTTACTCAAAAAATTATAGTAACTGCTTGAACTATTCGTGCATTTCCACTTAAAATAAAATTCATGCATGAACTGGTTCATACTATGAAAAACAATTATGTAAATTGTAATGAATTTTCAAATATTTAATTTTTTTGTGTAACTGAAGAAGAGCCTTTGTAGCATATGTATCACAGAAGTTCTCTAATTATACATTAGATTTTAAAAAAAAAGTGCTAAAACATTTTCATAATAGACATTGTATAAACAAATAACCTCAAAAAGAGAAACCTTAAGCAGTTCTGGGCAGGACAGAGGATTCCATGCTTTTTACATACCCCATTTGCCAAGAAGAATACAAATGGATGAAATCATTACTCCTCTCATATAATATTCTGTATCAAAAGCTGCATCAGTTTTCAATTAATAATCTGCACACCTTGAAAACTTGATTTTCATATAGATATGTCCTTTTAAATTCAAACATGAATACTTCTAAAACAATATTTAGTTGTTATCTGTTTAAATTTAAATATGCTCTTTTCTTATTTTACAGGCTATCGCATCAAATATGTGTTAGATGGGTTTAGAGAAGTGATTAAAGATACTGCATTGTTGAAGAAAATGTGATTTAAAGAACTATGACAAAAGACAGTGTATAAGAACTTATGTTAGAATGATGTTTTTATTATTCATAGTGACAAACAAATATTTTGCTCTGTTTTGAAAGAGAACAATTTATTTATTTATTTATTGCAAAGTTTAAACTTAACTTTTCTGTTATGTATTTGTGCTTTACCATTCAGCTATCTCGATGGTTCTTAATGTGATTTAAAGAACTGTGACAAAAGACAGTGTATAAGAACTTATGTTAGAATGATGTTTTATTATTCATAGTGACAAACAAATGTTTTGATCTGTTTTTAAAGAGAGTAATTTATTTATTTATTTATTTATTAAAAAGTTTAAACTTAACTTTCTTATGTGTATTTGTGCGTCACCATACAGCTACCTCGTTGGTTCTTAAAGTTATAATACCTGCACTCTAGGAGTGAGAGCTATCCAATCTTTGTGCTTATTTGCGTGTCTGTCTGACCAAGTAGTCCAACAGATATTTCTCAGAACATGCATAACAAAATGACTTAATATTTGGTTTGCTGCTTCTTAGGGATGAGTTAACCGTATTTTACTTATAAATGGACTTAGTTTTTCTGCCAGTGAACATTACATTCACTCTGTGGTTAAAGTTTTAAAAATTTTAATGACTTTCTTAAACTATCCTGGATTTGTACCAAACTTGGACAGAAGCTTGTTTATGTTCAAAAGCTAGTATCTACAAGGAAATTTTGTAAAAATTTATTTCCTGTTTATCCGTATATTACCTTTAAATGGACTTCTTTATTCTTCCTGTTAACATAACATACAGTCTGCAGTTAAAAGTTTTTAAAAAATTTATAAGATTCATAAACCATCCTGGATTTTTACCAAACTTGGACAGAAGCTTCTAACAATCAAAAGATAGTATCTAGAGGAAAATATTTAATAATTTTTTCCCCATAGACAACAGCAAAAGTAGGAGAGACACTGGGTTCCGCAGAACCCTTTCAAATTTTTTCTCCCATAGGATCTTCTTCCTTTGGTTTTTTTTAATCTCTCATAGGATTTTTATCCTCCCTTAGGAATTTTTTTTCTCCCTTAGGAATTTTTTTTCTCCCATAGGATTTTTTTTTTCCCTTAGGACTTTTTTTTCTCCCTCAGGAAATTTTATTTTCCCTTAGGATTTTTATTCTCCCTTATAATTTTTATTTCTCCCATAGGATTTTTTTTTCCCTTAGGACTTTTTTTTCTCCCACAGGATATTTTTTCTATTATGAAATCCCTTAGGATTTTTGTTAATCCTTTAGGAAATTTTTTATCCTACAGGATTGTTTTACAAGTCAAAATATCCTATAGGAAAAAAAATATCCTGTAGGATATGCTTTTTTTTTTCCTAAGGGATTCTTTTACTCCTAAGGGAGAAAATTTATCCTACAGGATATTTTTATATTCCTAAGGGATTATAAATCCCATAGGATATTCCTACGGGATTATGACTTTTCCTATAGGATTTCTAAAAATCCTGTAGGATTTTTAAAAATCCTATGGGAAAAAAAAATATCCTATAGGAAATTGACACTGATTTCACTCGTAATGCCGAACGGGGCGAGCCATATCAAAAATTTTTTTTTAATTGTTTTACCTATAGGCATAGGTATATTATTGCCAAGTTTGATAATTCTACCTTAAAAAAAAATGTGGTTCCAATTTGCACTCACGAGAAGTGCAAATTAATCCGAGAACATGTTTCTATCAAAAAGGTATATCTCGTCATTTTTATTCAATCAAGCAATCACGACAACTGCATTATATTGTCTTTAGAGAGAACGACCACTGTCACTTAAACTTGCAAGTCTTGGTTATATACAACATTAATTGATATCATTACAAAAACGTTGACAATCGCCTTAAATAATTGGTCAATCACTATCGAAACATGTATCAAAATGACAAGACTTTTTTTATACATATTGATTCTTGCCGAAATTTAATCATTACCGGCTTTGCCCAGAGGGTAACACCAGCCCAGTAGTCAGCACTTTTGCGTTGACATGTCATTGATGGTTATTTTTTACGGTAAATTTACCGCTTATAAATGTTAAATTATTCGGCACACTTTTTCAGAATTTTCGGATTGTTTATGTTCCGCAACTTTGTATTTGATTTTTTTTCTGTTTTTCCTGTATTTTTCTTGTTTTTTTTTTTGTTTTTTGTTTTTTGTTTTTTTGTTTTCTATTTTTGTATTGTCTTTGGTATAAATTTACTTCATGTATCACCTTCTTTGTAAAAAATTCTCTGAAACAGACATTATCAAGACGCTTGATTTCTTGATTGAATACATATTTGTTACGTTTGGAGGACGTGTTTTTCAACAAACAATCGGCATTCCCATGGGAACAAACTGTGCCCCTCTTCTTGCTGACTTGTTCCTTTATTCATACGAGGCTGACTTCATACATGAACTTCTTAGGAAGAAAGAAAAAAAGTTAGCAATATCCTTTAACTTTACATTCCGCTATATAGATGATGTTCTCTAACTATATAATTCAAAATTTGGTGACTATGGTGAACGCATCTATCCCACCGAAATTGAGATTAGGAATACAACAGATACAGTAAGGTCTACCTCATATCTTGACTTATATCTAGAAATTGACAATGAGGGTCGGTTGAATACATAACTTTAAGACAAAAAGATTATTTCAGCTTCCCAATTGCGAACTTTCCGTTTCTATGTAGCAACATTCCAGCAGCGCCTGCATACAGAGTATATGTCTCCCAGTTAATCTGATATTCCATTGTATTTCCTATCATGATTTCCTTAATAGAAGGTTGCTGCTCACA